TGAACAGATAAAATGAATTACAATGAGCACAGCCTATCATATTTCAACTCTCTGATGGGCAGGAAGGTCTCTCTTTTTTACCCCAACACTGTCCAAATGCCTCCGCTTATAGTCCATCTGAGGCTATTTAAGCACCTCAAGAATCTATACGACATCTTATTAGCAAATGACTCTGGAAGCCAACCTGAAGTTTATAAAACTGCAGCTATCCTAAGGACAGGGCAGGGGTAGTGGGAATGTAACAAAAATAATCATATTAGCTTCCAGTATGCTAAGTAGTCAAATATATGATTTCATTTTGATCCCCACTAGGCCAATAAAAATGAGTATTTCCATTTTAAAGGTAAGAAAATCAAGGTATAGGGGTGTTAAGTCATTTGCCCAGATAAAGCCAAGAGTCTTACTGGGGACTGCCTCACACTAATACCCACTAACGTGAGATTAAAAACTTAAAGAAAGAATAAATGGAAGTGGTGATACATTACCATATCACCACCCTTGGTAGAGGAAAGGTCAGGAAAATTGGAGAAAACTCAAAACTGCCACGAGACACTCAAAAACCACAACTGGTGACTTGTGCATCATACAGAGAGATGTAACGTTTGATAAGTTCTAGCAATGGTTTTCTACAGCAATCATGGTAAGAAAAGCTATCCTTCATAATCAATAGATCTCTCATTTTGGGAAAAGCTGCCTCCAGCACTAGCTCCTTATTACCATTCTAGAACTGTGTCCTTGACAGCAATACCACTGCAGCTACCCAAACACCAATCACACCATCTGCTGCTTGAGCAGCAGCACTTCCTAAGGCCGGTAACAAGTATTACTACTTTAATACAACATCCCAATACCAGCAACCAAAACAACCAAACCAAAACAGCTGGTTTACGAAGTTCATCCATGCACCCTGCCAACTATCCCAACACCTACCCAGCAAGTCCGCCCATCAGTGAATCACTATGTGCCGGGCACTGTGCTAGACAGTGACATTCTCTTCTTCACTTCAGAAGTCCTCCAAACTGAAGTCCAGCATTCCACGTCCCATAAGAACTCACGCACCCAATACCAAATCACAGAGCTCATGCTGATTACAAAACAGGATTTCCTATTAAGAAACTTACAAAGCACCAGCCATAAAATCATATGCATTTAGGGCAACAGTTCGTAACCATGGCTGTGTATTAGAGTCACCTGGGAACTTAAAAATAATGCCAATGCTTGGGCCTCATCCCAGATCAGTTAAGTCAGAATCTTTGGAGTGGGGCTCAGTATGGCTATATTTTTATAGCTTCTCAGGTGATTCAAAAGTGCAGTGAGAGTTGAAAAACACCAAATTTAAGTATTTCTAGAGTGGTAGTTCTGAAAACCTCATAACCCACAAATCTATTAGGTGGTACAAAGACCACAAAGACTCCCTTGCCCATCCATTGCACCTGCCATCTGGGGCTGTATTAAAATGATACATCAATAAAGTGTTCTCTTAAAATCACGGTCCCATCATTTCCTTGTTTATAGCAATTAAACACTAAACATGAGAGTCCTTGAGGTCACTCATGCCCCCCCAGTGAGCCCCAGGCCTCACTGTGAGAACCAGAGCTGACTGGCTCCAGCAGTGAGAGAGTGGTTGAGAGGTCCTCAGTCTCCTGCAGCTGAGTGTTCCGGTCACCGGAACAGGGATGTCCAGGCAGGAAGCAGCCTCAGCTCAGTAACCCATCAAGAGGAAACCTTCACAGTTCAGGCATGATTATCAAACTCTTTGTGCTCTTAAAGGAGAGTAATTATAGGCATGTGAAAAAAGGGAAGCACTCCCTGAGGAACTCTTCCTCACATGCTTCCCAAGAGGCACCAGGGCCATTAAAAATTCCATGATGAAGAGGAAAAACAGCCTGGGAACAGCCAGGAGGCAATACAGCAAATTAATACACCAGCCCTCCTCGGGGAAAGCTGTGATAAAACAGGAAACACTTCTCTCTTCGCAAAATAAAATTATACCACTAATGATAACATAGTCACCACACACACACACACACACACACACACACACACACACCCCGTTCTAATGATAGGTGTGAAATTCCCAAGGCTGCCCAGACGCTTTGAAAGAAATCTTTTCCTACTACAAATAAAATGGAACAAGAAAAAGATAAAATTTCCATTCGAAACAGTTTTTAATACAGTCATTCACCTGCCTTTTCCCTGCCACCATGGCTCTTTAACATTCCTTGCTAGACACCAGGCTTTGTTAAACAGTGTCCACTCTGTTCAAAGCCAACCATCCAGCTCCGAAGCCCATCTTATCCTTCAGCCACACCCGAGCTAAATGGCTCCTTCTCAACTGACCCCTTGCTGGGCAGGGACCACCCCCCTCCCCAATTTCAAAGGAGTGGGAGGATGCCCTGAGGGCTCAGGGTTTCAGCACCCACATTTTCTAAAAATTGCTTAGAGGTCGCTTGTGCGGACCATTTCCCACAGAGCCATGGTTGCCAAACTTTATTGACTGCTCCCTCATGAGTAAAACATTTGCACAAACACCCTTTATGTATGTAACACATATACATAAAACAAAAATATGTGCTACTGGATGTCTCTATATACAATTACAACAAAAAACCATTTTTTAAGGATCAGATAAACTGAAATTTAAAAAATGGCTTCCCCGGGGCGCCTGGGTGGCTCAGTCGGTTAAGCGGCTGCCTTCGGCTCAGGTCGTGATCCCAGGGTCCTGGGATGGAGCCCCGCGTCAGGCTCCCTGCTCCACGGAGAGCCTGCTTCTCCCTCTCCCTCTGCCTGCCGCTCTGCCTATCTGTGCTCTCTCTCTAGGTCTCTGTCAAATAAATACATAAATAAAACCTTAAAAAAAAAAAGTAATCCCCTACCCCCAAAGAATGCAACCCACTCTGTATCCACTGCCCTGGGAATGACATCTAGAAGGACAAAGATGAGCTAGAATTGTCCACATTCTCTCACCTTGTTTGTAGCAATGGTCTAAAGCAATAAGCAGTATTTCCCTAGAGCTGACTGCACTAGAAGCACAGCCTAGACCTTCTTACATTTCCAAGTCTGACCACAAGCCCCGCCAGCAGGAGAACGAAGACAATGACATGGATAGTAAGATACATAACGAAACAAAAAGCTGACGCCCACTCCAGTCAGGATGAGGCTTCAGAAGCAACAGGAAACCTGATAAAAGCATGGATACTGATCTCAGCACAGTAAAGGCACAGCTTTAGGTAACAGAGGTAAAGAGAGGAGGGCAAAGAATCCACTTTCTGCATCTGACAGGATATGGTGCTACTCATATAATCTTCCCAAAGAGTATACATAGCCATTATTTCATGTGGGATTAAGACAAAAAGCTGGAGGACTGCTTTCCAATGCATTGAAATCTTCGGTCTTTCAAGACAGCTTGAGAATCACCACCTCTAAGAAAATTTCCCTGAGCCTCTCTTCTGGGCTTTGTATCATTCTAGTGTACATTTTTACACACCTGTCACTTTACACTGTACTGCTGATTTCCATGCCTGGCTTTCTCAAGAGAATGGAAGCTCCTGAGAGTAGTAGCTGAACAAAGAGTCTGGTGCACAGTACGGAGTCAGCAAGTGCTGAGTGAGTGAATGATGAACAAACAGCACACGACTGAAGAGAAGGCCTTATAATTACTTTATTACTACTTGTCCAGTAGAAGGTTTGGCAGTTGGCAACAGGTTATGGGGCAGAATTTATTATTACAGCCCACAGTGGAAGTTCTCATTGGATCTGTGAAAGGATAATTTCCTGTGCTTGCACACCAATCTATGAACATACCCACTTAAGAATGAATTAACAAAAGGAAAACAAAAAACAAAAAAACCCCCACCATATCAGAACCTTGGAAAGAAATCCTTTGTGCCCCTAGAAATAATAAAAGTTCTATGGTTCAGCCTATAGCTCCTCCTTTGTGCACAATAACCCTGCTAGGGGATGCTACCAATAACACCATGTTTACTTCCCATGTCATCGAACTCCAGAGAATTTCTATTGAAAAATGCAGGATTCACTCTGCCACACTGGCAAAGGATTCATCTAACAAATACATACCGAATGTCCAGTAAGTGCCAGACACTATGTTAGGTGCTGGGGATATTATCAGGGAACAAGACAAAACAAAGTCCCCACACTATGAAGCTTATCTCCTAGTGAGACAGGAGAAAAAAGTTGTGGGGGGGGGGAACCCAACAAGCATATTCATTATAGACTGTGATAAAGCTTTAGGGGAAAGAAATCGATGACCAGAGAGCAGTGGAGGTGGCCCCTTTAGATAGGATGGTCTGAGAGGTCCTCTCTGAGTTGAGATGAGAAGTAGCCAACCGTGAGAAGAGGCTTAGCATGGGACTCCAGACAAAGGGAAAAAGTGTGAAGGTTCAGGGGCAGAAAAGGGTTGCTATTTTTGATGAACAAAATGGAGCTGAGCTCCCTGGCACAGCTGGACCTCTACCCTAGTGAGGAGAAAGAAGTATAGGAAAGGAGGCTGGACATGCAGGCAGAAGACAAATTACGCAGAATTTTGCAGGTCAAGGCAAGGACCACTAGTAATGTTCTCTGAAGATGGGGCTTTTAGCCGAAGAAATAGGAAATACAAGTCAGAAGACATAGGGGCACTTGGGTGGCTCAGCTGGTTAAGCATCTCACTCTTGATTTCAGCTCAGGTCTTGATCTCAGGGTTGTGAATTCAAGCCCCGTGTTGTCAAAAAACAAAAAAACAAAACAAAAAAAATCCATGCTCTAATACAAGTCAGAAGACTTAGGTCACAGCTGCGACTTAAATCACATACTAGCCATGTGATCATAGGAAAGATACTTCAACACTGCCTTGGTTTCTGTATCTGTAAAACATCTACTGGTCTCTAAAGGTTGTTGAAAGATCAAATTGGATATTATATACAAATATACTTTATAACCTGAAGAGTGTTATAAAGGAAAGGGCATTGTGTGGAAGAAAACCGCCACCAGAAGACAATTACCTGGCAGAGCAGTGTGCTGGTGAACATCTTCGGTGAGAAGCGTCAGTGAGAACATCCAAGGAGTAAAGGGGAGACAGGGGATTAAACTGCAGGAATAAATGAGATTATTTTAGAAAAGCTTATATGAAAAAGACCTGATCCTAGAGTGGCCTGCTGTTTGATTCCTTTGCCCCTCTGACCGTTTGACTCTTTTACCATACCGCAGACACCATTCAGTCAAGTTGCAACCATGAATACAGCATACTGATCCCACACACCTCAAAAAAGGCTATTCCTTGGTAAATAACAGTTTTTAAAAACTTCTAATACATGACAATTACTTAAATGGCAGAAGACAGTACTTTCTATTTGACATAACAGGAACTTACGCTATTGATTATTAGCCCTTGTTCCTAAGAAAACTAGCATGAAATTACTTTTTTATTTCCTTATCCTGGTCAGTGTTTCCAGTAAATAACTGGTTAACACATACCAGCAGCCGTTGTTAGTAGAAACAGAACTAGATTAAGAATACCTAACATTTAATTCCAGTCTATCCCTGAGTTGCCATACATTAAAAAATACTACTTTCTTTGAGCTTTACTATCCTCATCTGTATAATGGATGCACTGCTTATCTTACCTATTTTACAGGATTGCTGTGGGGGCTAAATTAAATACTGCTTTCAGTTTATAATTCCAATTTCTCTTCTGTAAAACTTCTATTTATCTCAAAAGGTGGTTGTGAGGATCAAACTCGGATACAATATAGAAGAAATACCTTACTTTCTGTTTTCTAGCTTTCTATGGACTTCTCCCAGAATAAATAATCCTTCCCCCAAATTTCAGTACTAAATGTATCTTAAGACCGGAACTCTAAATGGTAATTTCAAAAGAACTTACGAAGAAGTCTGACTTTGGGCAAATCGTTTAACTCTTATTTGTAAGTAACAGATCTGGACTAGATGATCACCATAGGCCCTCTTCTGCCTCTCGATCCTCTGATGCAAACATAATCAGTACCCTGGCTTCCTGTCTCTCACATACCACCTTAATGACTTTGTATCTGCCCACCACCTGCACTATATTTACTCAATATTTTTCTTCATACCAATTATTTTTACTCAACCTTGTCCTTACTCTTTCTATGGAACAACAAGATTGATAGAATGATTTTTTTTTTCTAATACAAATTATAACTTAAAGTAATAATCAATCATATGTCCACACACCATCTAAAATCATCTCATAAGCACACACCAGTTAGATGTGCCACTGCTCTAGTTCATTTTGAAATAGTAACTTTGGGCGCCTGGGTGGCTCAGTTGGTTAAGCGACTGCCTTCGGCTCAGGTCATGATCCTGGAGTCCCTGGATCGAGTCCCTCATCGGGCTCCCTGCTCGGCAGGGAGTCTGCTTCTCCCTCTGACCCTCCCCCTTCTCATGTGCTCTCTCTCATTCTCTCTCTCTCAAATAAATAAATAAAATCTTTAAAAAAAAAAAAGAAATAGTAACTTCAAAAGGAAGGTTCCAAGTCTAAACTGTACATCAATTTAGTAAGTCCTAAGGAGTCAAAACACAAAATAAAAACCGCTGAGCAACAGGACGCCTGAGATTTCTACCTACCAGTCTTCACCTATTTTATACCTAATCGAGATAAAGCAACCTCTATCCCCACAAAAATCAAAAGCTTCAAACATTAAAGGAACATACTGATAGCCACCGTCAGTAATTTTTAAATTATGACCCCTATAAAGGCCTAGATTTGCCAAGGGCCCTCTCCAGGGGCAGCCAGGAAAGAGACTAAGAGACTAAGAGGGCAAGGCTCACTCCCAGCAGCCCTCCCTCCTGTTTCTTATGCTCAGATCTCACCATTGTACTTCTCAGTATACGATGCTGGTGCTGAACTGAACCATAAACCCAACGAGGTTCATTCTGATTTCTTACTGCAAAGTTCAAAACTAAAATAAAAACAGGATCCCTATGAAAGATGCATTACAAGTAATAAACACAAAAAGAACACCACAGTTGAACCTAAAAAAGGGAATTAGCTACAGTTCTTATAGTATCAGATAATCTTAGACAACAGTCCTCTAAAAAAACCATAACATAGGACCTTACCTCATGTGCACAAGCAGAAATGTGAGGAAAATCAGAAGCCAATGCTTTATTCTTTCTAAAGAAAAGGAGATCAAATGATAAAATAAAGATGACAAAGAAAAGCGATCTTACCTGATTTCGTTCTCTTTTCCCAGCTGACGGTAACCAGAAACTAAAGAGAAGGAGAGAACAACAGAAAGAAAACAATAAAAGAAGCAATTGGAAATTATAGGGGAGGAGCAGAAAAAAAGATGCTGGGGTAACCAAGTGAATACGAAGAAAGAACTGGGGAAAAGAAGGAACTGGAGGAGAAAAGGAGAGGGATGGTAAATGTACACAAACGTTTTTTGTGAAAAATAACTCTTCAAAGGAAAAAGCCTTATAATGAAATGTAAAACACTGGACTCTCTAAAAACAAACCCACCAAAATACTCTCACCTGTGTAGTGACAACAGGATCCCCAAATTCAACAAGAACACAAAACATACTCACAAACGACAAATTTGACCAGGCTAACGAGTATAGGATCACAACTAGGTATTAACCATGAAGCACACAGGAGACATCAAATAGCCAATCATGTTAGGGGACAAGGCTGTCACAAGAAAGGGGGGGCAATACTTTTCCTATAACACAGGCTTTCCAGTTGCATGTCCACAGTAGTGAAGACAAAAAGATATTTCTTTAGACAGAGGTCTAAAAATGGGAAAAGCAGCCTATAGGAGAATACAGAGGCATTTTGAACAAAAAAATTTTAAGAGACAGAAAAATTAGCTTAAAATATAACATTCTGTAAAGGAAGAAGTAAAACTATCAGTTTGCAGATGACATGATGCCATACATAGAAAACCCTAAGGACTCCATCAAAAAACTGTTAGAACTGATAAACGAATTCAGCAAAGCTGCAGGATACAAAATCAACGTACAGAATCTGTTGTGTTTCTCTACACTAATAATGAACTATCAGAAAGAGAAATGAGAAAATAGGCCCATTTACAATTATATTAAAAAGAATAAAATACCCACGAATAAATTTAACTGAGGAGGTGAAAGACCTGGACACTGAAAACTACAAGACACTGATGAAAGAAACTGAAGGCACAAATAAACGGAAAGATATTCCGTGCTCATGGACTGGAAGAATTAACACTGTTAAACTGTCCATACTACCCAAAGCAACCTATAGATTCAAGTCCCAATGGCATACTTCACAGGACTAGAACAAATAATTCTAAAAATCTGTATGGAACCACAAAAGACCCCGAATACCCACAGCAATCTTGAGAAAGAACAAAGCTGGAGGTATCATGCTCCCTGGTTTCCAATTATACTACAAAGCTATAGTAACCAAAATACTAGGGTATGGGCATAAAAACAGACACACAGATTAATGGAACAGAAGAGAGAGCCCATGCAAATATGGTCAATTAATTTACAAAAGAGGCCAGAATATACAATGGGGAAAAGACAGTCTCTTCAATAAGTGATGTTGGGAAAACTGAACAGTCACATACAAAAGAAGAAAACTAGATCACTATCTTATACCATACACAAAAATTAATTCAAAATAAATGGATTAAGGACTTGAATGTAGAACTTGAAAGCATAAAATTCCTAGAACACATAGGTGGTAAGCTCCTTGTCATGGGTCTCTTTTGATTTTTTTTTTTGGGGGGGGGCTTGTCTGACTCCAAAGGCGAGGGAAACAAAACAAAAATAAATGGGACATCAGACTAAAAAACTTCTGTGCAGCAAATTATCAATAAAACAAAAATGCAACCTACTGAATGGGAGAAGATATTGCAAATCATGTATCAGATAAAGGATTAACAACCAAAATATATAAAGAACTCATATAACTCAACAATAAAAAACCCCAAACAATCCAATTAAAATATGGGCAGAGGGCATGAAGGACATTTCCCCAAAGACATACAGGCCCACAGGCACATGAAAAGATGCTCAATATCAACTAATTTCAGAGAAATGAAAATCAAAACCACAATGAGGTATCACCTCACACCTGTTAAAATGGCTATTATCAACAAAACAAGAAATAACAAGTGTTGTTGAGGATGTGAAGAAAAGGGAATCTTAGTACACTGTTGGTGGGAATGTAAACTGTTGCAGCCACTCTGGAAAATAGTATGGAGATTCCTCAAAAAATTAAAAATAGATCTATCATATGATCCAGCTATTCCACTTCTGCATATTTATCCAAGGAATATGAAAACACTAACTTGAAAAGATATATACACCTCTATGTTCACTGAAGCATTATTTACAATGGCCATGATATGGAAACAACCTAAGTGTCCATCAACGGATAAAGAACATGTGGTGTATACATAAATATACATACACACAACGGAATACTACTCCATCATAAAAGAGAAGGAAATCTTGCCATTTGTGACAACATGGATGAACCCTGAGGGATTAGGTTAAATGAATAAGTCAGAGAGAGAAGACAAATACTGTATGATAGCATTTATATGTGGAAGCTAAAAACAAAACAAATGAAAGAATAAAACAAAACAAAACAAACTCATAGATACAAGGAATGGATTGGTGGTCCCAGAGAGAAGGGGGTTGAGGGGTGGGTGAAAGGGCTCCATTTCAAGCTGAAGTATGGCACCTAGATTTATGGTGATGATCACTTTGTAGTGGACACAAATATTGAATTACAATGTTCTACACCTGAAACTTATGTAAAGTTATGCATCAATCCCAATCAATATAAATAAATAGTAACATCCTAATTGGAGGCTACTTTTATAAAGCAGCATCTATACATATAAACAGCAAAGAAATAAAAATTAGTCTAGAAAGGAAAAAAAAATCACTCTCATGAGATTAGAGCATTAGCCATGTTAACTGTTGTAAAGTACAAATCTTCAAGATCTCATTCAGCTCAGAATTCTAGGTTCCTTCGTAAAACTTCCCGCTGCCTCCTACTCCAAGGAATGGGCTAGGATAATGAGTAAATATATAAGCACTTACTCCTTCTGCCGAGGGTCACTAATGATGTGGCCTATTCTCTCAGTACTTATGCTGGTCTCCTGCAAAGGCAAGGAAGACAAGAGTGTCATCTAACCACAGAAACAAATAAAGTATGATCTGATATCAAGTTCACACTTTCCCATAACTGTGCCAGCAACCTCAAAGGCACATGTCAAATGTCAATCTTAAAATCCAACAGCAAGTTTATTTCTTTTTATGGGAATCTATCTTAAAAGTGTTACGTTATTCTAGACTTATTTTTCTCTAGTGTTCCAAAAAAGTCATTACAAACCTTGTTTACTATAGATAGCATTTTAATAGTGAGTTTTTTGGGTTTTTTTTTTAAGATTTTATTTATTTATTTGAGAGAGAGAATGAGATAGAGAGCATGAGAGGGGGGAGGGTCAGAGAGAGAGGCAGACTCCCTGCTGAGCAGGGAGCCCGACGTGGGACTCGATGCCGGGACTCCAGGATCATGACCTGAGCCGAAGGCAGTCGCTTAACCAACTGAGCCACCCAGGCACCCAATAGTGAGTTATTAAAGTATATAGAATTTAACAGGCTGCATACCAACCTCCCCAGATCATACGATTACAGCCCCAATAGCCTTCATAATGGGAAATTTACCCAGTCCTCACTGGTAACACCTAACATCTGCTGACTAAATGTACACATATTAAAGGAATTTTGTAACTTACAAAAACTGTTACCCTGTCTTATCTCTTAAGCATCATCTCTTAAAGTAAAACAGAAGTTTATACAAATTGGTTCTTAAATTTAGGGTTCTTAAGACTGTAATATGAAATCTTACCCATAACACCACAAGCAATTCAGAAACTAACTAATCATCTCCAAAAAATTGAAAAATGGCACAAGGCACTCACCCTTTACTTAACTTGAGTACATTTACAATGAATGTCTATCACAGTACCTGGGGAAGCGCACCAATGGTACATGAATAAGAGTTACTTACGCACATCAGAGTAAATGTTAAGATGAGCGCGCGTAAGTCATGGGCATGAATGTCAAGAACATGAAGGCTGTTACTCAAACACATTTGTTACTGGGCAAATATTATGATCGGTATTCATTTGTGTGTGGATTAGCCTAAAATATTAGGGTACAATTGACTATAGAAAAATTAATTTGAGGTCAGATTCTGGGCGGGAGTGGCGCTAAATGAAAAGGTTTCACATACTGTATTCTTCACATTCTTCATCCATTACGCACATGCCTCCTAGTCACAGACACAGCCATAATAGTGGGGCCAAGGGAAAGGACAGGTGAAAAATGAGCTATTTGTTACTGCAGAAAAATTATTAACTTAAAGTGCCGTAATGTTTAAATTTACAGTTTATTACTGTGTAAATTACAAGCAGTACTTTGCGTAATTAGCAGCTCGCTGGCAGGGAGCTGTGAATGAAACTCATTATTTATGATTACAATTTAGAAAAAGAGAAGAGAGGTGGGGGAGGGGAAAGAAGGGGGGCAGAACATTGACCTCTGCTACAAATGACAAATATCCCTTTAAGGTGATGAAGATGAATTAAACAAGTAAATATTATCCTATTCATTTGAAATTCTTAGTCGCACATCCAATAGGCCCTAGAGTTTCCTTCCAGGCAAGCTAAAGGGAGCGTTCAAGACAAACTGATTTACTTCCATGGAAGTGGAAGGCTCTTATTTTACAGGAGCTGAAACAAAGTAAGGTAGATAGTAGGTAGAACATTATCTTTCAAGTCTAACTGACAAAGAGAAAAAGTAAAACCATCTCTCTGTTCCCTATTCCCAACCTCCTGCCTCCCTCCACCTTACATATTCCTACCCTATTAGCTGTCCTGTTAACTAAGAATAAGCTCCCAGAACAGTGAAAGCAGCATTTTAATGTCTGTGAAATCAATGAGGCAAAAGAAAAAGGTATCATTCTTCCAATAATCAAATGTCTTTCTAATTAAGAGATTTGAAATTGAATTTAAAGATTAAAAATATTTAAGTTCACCTGGAAATAAATAGCTTCATTTCTTTTACATAGCTAAAATTTCAGAAAACGGTTCCTTATTTCAACTACAAAACAGTAGCCCCCTGAGGGTAGCCAGGCTGTGGCTGTGATCACTATGTACCTGGCCTGGCACAGAGCCTGACACATAGCAGGCATTCTAAATGTTTATGCAATGAACGCATTAATGCTCTGAAATTGCCCTTTGCCCACCACCATCCTCTCTAACTAGGTATGAGCCCCAGTCTTAACCTACCTTCAATCTCAAAGCTAGAGTAAAAAATTAAAGTAATTTTTAGGGGCACCTGGGTGAGTCAGTTAAGTGTCTGCCTTTGGCTCAAGTCATGATCCCAGAATCCTGGGATCGAGCAGTTCCCTGCTCAGGAGGAGTCTGCTCATCCCTCTCCCTTTACCCCTCCCCCCGACTTGTGCTCTCTCTCAAACTAATAAATAATCTTCAAAAAAATTAATAATTTTAAAAGATAAAAGAGAAGTACAGCTGGGTTCAATCCTCTCTTCTGCAACTTCTATCTGGGTAACATTAGACATTACCTAGCTTCTTTGAACCCAAGTTTTCCTCATCTGCTAAGTGGGAATATCACCTGTTCTATAAGGTTGTTAAGAGGACTAAATGAACTGAGTGCCCAGTACAGTCCCTGACAAAGGCAGAACTGAACATGGAGAGTCCTCCCATGTGGCCAAGGAGAAGCTTTTGAAATCTGATAACAGGTTTTCTTTTTCTTTTTTTTTTTTTTTAAAGATTTTATTTATTTATTTGAGAGAGAGAGCACATGAGAGGGGGGAGGGTCAGAGGGAGAAGCAGACTCCCTGTCGAGCAGGGAGCCCGATGCGGGACTCGATCCAGGGACTCCAG